TTGGGTATTTTGATAGTCCAACATTGCTACCGAATTCTCTATGGCAAATTGTTTGCTGTTATTTAGGATAACAATTTCACAAAAAACACCAGACTTCTTTTTATTATTCCAGGGACTTCGTGGTTTCAGTTGAGTTCCTGTAAGTATACCATATATTATATAAAATGCAACGCAAGGATGATTTTCAGCAGAACGAACAAAATGTAGCTTCATTTTCTACGCCAAATATGTTTTATGGAACTGTAACTTAATACGGATTACTTTATATAAAGAGACTTGAAAAGAAAATATGTCTTGACGCAGTAGCTTGACATGATATTGATCTATCAAATAATGAGATTGCAAGAATTAGGGATCGTTATAACCCCGTTAGTACCTATTGGTATTGGGTTACTAGAAATCGAACAAAAGGGAGAAAGTAAAACCCAATCAGTCCGTCTGAAATATTCCACTTTGCAAACCAAATTTCAATTGAACTCGGAAAATAAAACATCAATCAAAACATTTTTGAAGCTTCTAAAACCTCTTGTTTGGTTATCGATTTCATGGAACATTTTGAACAATGGAAAGGTGTAATTTGCAGATATTGTTATTATAATGCGTAGATAATAGGTTTCGTGCAATGTTGTTGAGAAGTAGCCTATACTGTTTCATAAAATGTGTAAGTACGAGTATAACATGCCATGTGGAAGTAATGTAGAATTAATATACAACTCGGCCATTCTCAGATGAGCTAGTTTTTGCGTGTCCGGACTGTTAAATCGTTAAAAATAACAAATTAGAGACATGCAAGTATTTTTATATGTTACTTAACAACCCCATCCAGTTGTGCATTAAATCATAGGCCTCTATTTTAAGTATTTCTGACTTAATTAATTTCATGAACCTCTGTTCTCTAATTACCGTTACGCGTCCGCACACCGACTAAATGTTAAAACTTGGCTGTAATTTTTATGTCGTATAGATTTGGTTTACTCCATTCAACATTTTAAAGAGTACAAAAGATTGTCTTATGCATAGCAAAATGTCTATTCAATAGAACCATTCTGTAAATAATTAGATTGTTGATGATGTTTTTGGGCACACAAGCCTAAATAATAATATTTGACACATCATTTACGCGCGCGGCGCGAGCCCTTAGTTAGTTCTAAGACCTGTTAGCAAGTAGACGTCTATTGCGTTGGCGTACCGTCGATGAATTGCGTAAGAGTATAATTACCATATCTTTGGTTTTCAATTTTTCTATTTACCATGTCCTTATTTTTATACTCGATTTTTGAAGGTAGATCCACGTTGTTAATTTAAATAGATTCAGTACTTTGGCCTTCATACGTTGTAGTAAGACAGTATTTGCATACGCTGAAGATTTTGGAAATTTTGAAGAAAAACTATCGTTTTATAATTTCCATGTACTAATTACCGTATATTTATAATCACCGTTGTATGAAATTATTACCTACAAATTGCACTCACGATTGAATAAGTATGATGATAAAATATGAAATATACCTAGACTTTCGCATAACAACTGTACGGACTTTTCTTCCAATCTGACAATCAAAATTTTAAAAAACTTTCGTTAGAGTAACCTCGAAATAGATTCGATTTCATGACGAATGTTCAGCTTCAGTTGCTGCATGGTTGTTGGATTTAAGAGTATATTTTAACCCCTAACGTGACCCCACAAAAAGAAGTTACCTGGAGTGAAATCGGGGCTTTCTGATGGCCAGGAGATGTCACCCCTGCATGAAACATGTCTCGTACCAGATATTTATTTTTACTATTAGTATAATTGATATTAACATCTTAAATCATTAATTAATTCTAATATAATACCATTAACATCTATCCATAATACCTTTGCCCTAAGAAGATGAGATTTTCCAACAGTAACACTTACCTGGCGTGATCACATTAAGAACAAAAGAGAACAAATCAACAGACAATGGGACTTTTCAAGGCAAGAGTGTATAGGCACTTTGTACCATCCTAAACTGCATCCTACCTGCTTTGTTATGCATAGAAAAAACTTCGTGATATGCAATGGGTACTGGACAGAAGAAGCTTGGAGAACAAACTATATACAAATGGATCCTAAAACCCATGTAGACATGGCATCGACTTAGCCTCGCAAATGTAGAAATACTTTAACGTTTTCAAAATAAAGTTTTAAAAATCTTGAGCTGTGCACCTTGGTTTACAAAGTCCACTGAAGTGATACCAAACGTCAAAGAGGGTGTGGAAAATCCTGTAAAGCTTACAACCAAAGACTAGACCTTCATGCAATCTATTTGCTGCATCCCTTCTAAATTCTAAGAATTCTGCATTTAGGCTCGGGAGAAAGCGAATAGCATCAATCTGAAAACTTATTGTAAAAGAATCGAGGTGACAAATCATGGGATATGCTGAGCTGGAACTGTCATTATTACAAATTCAATTTAATCTGATAATGGGTGATGGCTGATCGCAGATAGATTAAAAAGAGGAAAAATCACTTAAATCATTAATTAATTTTTCGATATATGCATATCCGAAAAATCAAATTTGTGAGATCTCCTGATCCATTATCTGTACGTTAAATCGTTTGTACCACATTGAAATCAAATAAATGATTATTAAGATTCTGATGAAATGTGACACGTAGCCCCTTCTGGCCGAAACTAAGTGTTCCTGTTATAGCCTCGATTATTGCAGTATACTGAAAATATCTTGATACAATAAATAATAGAAATGAGTGTTTTCCTTTTTTCAAAGGGTTATTAAGTGTACCTACAGCGTTTTTTATGACGCTATATATTTATATACAAATTTATCAATGCAAGATATTGTTTTCTTGCTATTTTACATATTTTTTCTAATTACCGTTAGATTAAGTATTAGCCTTATCTAATTACCGTGACCATAAAATTTTTGGGTCTCATTTACGCGAAAACCGCTTGGAATAATTTGACGCCTTAACGATTGTTAAATTCGTACTTTTCATGTGTTTCATATTTAATTGCGTTTAAGTCAATTAAGCCAAATTTCAAAAATTATATGGTAATTAAGCTGAGAACGCCTAATCGTGAGAATGGCCGAACTAAGTAAAATGCTCTATATTTTTGTCTCTGTATAAAACATTTTTGGAAAACAATATCGATTTTGCAAATAAAATTAACCATGTACTTTAAAGAGGTCGGTAAGTATAGATTTATAAAAAAATAGGTATAGTTGTTATAATTATTATGGTATTTTATCAGGAAGAATTACCTACTTAGTCGGTTTGCTGACTCGGTAATACTGCGTTATTTTTGACATTATCGGAACTTGTGGTTATTTTGGTTGTTAATTAAGTCAATTAAAATTACCACATAGGTAACGTCCGGCTAATATCTCCATACAATCTCTTACTGTTTAAATTAAAAACATTAGAAACTAAGATAAGCAGAGCTCAGATATGGAGCAGAACAAATAATATAAATCAGATGTTAATAGAAATAGTATTTGTATATTTGCGTATCACTCAGCCGCTAGAAATACAACACAAATAGAAATGACCCAATGGTGTGTATGATGACCCATGATATTTTTGTAGGCGTAGCTGTATAGACATGCAGACGATAAAGACTTCTAAAACTACATAGTTGGAATTAAATTGAATAACATACATGAAATTGAAACCAAATGTTATTGTTATTTTCTATTATACCGAACATTTATGAGGACATTATTGTTTGACCACGGCATTGCCACCGAAACGCCAAAAAGAATAACAATACAGGCTTATAGCGATATAATAACAATGTGGCAATATTCTAGCAGGGTTCATAAAGGGGATGTATTTTATTTTATTTCGTTACGTTACGGTAAGGCATAGGATAAACTATAACTGTTTTTTCTCGATTGGCTATATTTTTCTTGTAGGTACTAAGTACGTAATGAAAGCAGTCCTCTACGCAACCCGACCTTTCAAATGTTCACAATTATAAAAGAGCTTTCACTCACTTTATATAGCAAGAGTAGGATGTCTCTACAATTGGTTTTCCGGCTGCCAATTTGCTGGACGGGACTGACGAGTCCCTTACATTGACGAGTATAATCAGGGTAAAACAGAAGATGGAGCTAACCCGATGTCGAACAATGAGGGAGAAGGAAATCTAATTTCACTGGCACGGGAGTTGTTCCAATTATGCATAACTATTCATCGCAAATTGGCGTTTAAATATTGTATTATCTTCAGGACGTGGACTGAATAATTCCTTGCAATTCTTCTAAAAACTTGGCAGGAACAATTTACACCATCTTGAACTACGTGCTTAATAAGTATTTTAGGTATGTTACCTAGTAAAATAGGACATGTCGTTTACAATAAAATATCTTTATCTTTTGCATTATCAAGATCCTATAAATCAGGACGCCCTAAGGGTTACAGTTTCTTTAGTTATCTAACTGAAGGTCAGTTTCACCGCTTGCCAAATAAATCCCTGATAAGCATAGCCCTGTCAGATAAAATACAAATTTTGATCTCACTGCTTGCTAATGCATAGAAATGTAGAAGTCTTCGGTATTCAGTAACCTTTATTTGTTAGAAGTTATAATTGCGTTATAATATTTTGTCAGATCTATCATTATAAACCAGTGAAATTGAGCCTAAATTAGTTAGGTAGAGTTTAATTGGTGTATGGGAGCATTTATAATTAACCAGTTAAAAGTAGGTGTACGACTTTCAGTAACCCTTTAAAAATCAAAAGCAGTTTTAACGCCGAACTTCAAAAGTAATTAAGCAATTAAAAGCAAAAAGCTGTGCTTGTAGCTCTACTATTGCTCTTTTGTTTTGTGAGCCCATCATGAAATTGGCGAAAGTGTACATCAACCAGTTTCAGCGGTGACAACTCAGCCCGAGTTGGGTTTCGTTGAAGTTTTGTCCCACGGCCACTGTAACTTGGTCCCCGACGTACTTGGCGCCAATCGCAGCCACAGCGGCCAGCCCGCGCGCCGCGACCAGTCGCAAAGAGCCCGGCCTCCGCGCAACATGCCGCTCGGCGCTACCGCGAACTTATACCGCTCTCGTAATATCTAAACGATATCCCCCACAAAAGTACAATGACTTATCATCACGCTCCAAACTTCATCCCGGCCACCTCCACGGGATTCCAAACAAAGTTTCCCAATAAACATAGATAGGAAATGAACTTTTGTACTTAGTTTGTAATGTTTCAGTGATTGTAGTGATAAAGACCCACTTAAGTGAAGTTACAATAGCATTTGAAGAATCTCATTTCATTGTTGTTGAGTAAGTATGTCACATCATTTATTGTTACTAACTAAATAAATATAAATAAAACGTCATATTTATGTAAATATTTACGAATTTATCTAAATATTAATTGCCTAGGCTGCCCTTTAAGCATTAACGTATAAATCATATGGAAAAGTAAATATGACATCCTAAGTAATATAATAGGTAATCGTAGGTAAGGACTACTAATTATGTGAAGAATAATAAATACTTAACATATTACATAATATATTAATTAATGCGCTAATTATGAATAAATAAAATTATGCTTACTTCAATTCAAATTAGATTATAAAAATATTAAAGTAAAAGAAAAGCGACATAATTTAACTCGTTAGTGAATATAAGCGTTTTACTTAGATACTTTTTATGTGGTAACAGCAAGGTCTAGCTCGTTGCCTATGACAGCTGTGCCTCATTAAGACCAGACTGAATAGGAACTGAGCAAGTATGTAGAGTCTCTTTTAATATCAGCTTTAATTGGGGTCCAATTCCTGCCTAAGTAAAACAAGAAAATGCGAAAAACTATGGACGTAGGTACAGTCTAATCTGTAGGCGTTATGCAGTTGTCTTTAGTTAACCCACCTTGGGTTACGAGACGTCGACTTCTTACGCCACGAGATAGATCTCTGCGAATATTACGAAGGCATTTGAATATCTAGTGATCACACCTGAGGAAACGGTTTATTTGTGACGAAATCGATATCTTTTATTCAGTAGGTTGGGTTGTCACACACCTCGAATTTGCTTTAGGGAAATTTTGTTTCGTTACAGCAAAACAAAAACGGGATAGTTATTAGTTTTGGACCAACACTTGCAAGATTTATTTACAATTTACTCTCGGCTTCTAGAATAGGCTAAGTGCTGTAGAGACATTCTATAAAATGTGAGAATAATTTGAATTTGATTTACTCATGCGATAATAAGAGAAATTACGATTTTAGAGGATCATTGTTTGGGAAACCCATGTTATCGATATGAAAACTCTTTATTATGCTTTTAAGAATTGATAAGACGCGCGATTTAGACTTTCAGCGTCCCACGCAGACAAACCCGAAGGTAGAAGCTAGTCATGAAACATGCTGAAGACTGAACACACGCCTATAATGTATTTTGAACTAATTATAAAGTCTCACAAAGCACAGTGTATTCGTTTGACAACGAAGAAACTTCGTAGCTTTTGATAACAAAACGTGCAGCTAATTAGAAGATTCTGCTATCTAATAGGTATGTAGGAAAATTAAATGAAGCTTTGCCGGTTAGGAGAGTAGGTATTTAAACTGAATGCGTATCCGTTTGTAGAAGGGATTAGGGAACACATAGTCTAAGTTTAGAAACAATTACTTTCATAATTCCGGGTACCGAATAAAGGCTGTATTTTTGAGTTGGGTCGGTAAGGGATCATTAGTTTTCTGTGGAAAGGTTAAAATAATTTTGAATTCCTATCATAGACATCCATCCTGTACGGGTAAGGTACGCTTTATTTTAACAGTTTCAAAAGAATAGAACATAGGCACTGTCAGTGAAAAACGGAGCCGTTTATCATCATAACAATCTTCTGGACATAAGTCTAGTTTAATCCCTGCCATTTTACGCTGCCTTTAGCTTCGCATCGTCACGTTCGGCTTTTACCTTTACCTGGGACCTTTCGCAATTCGTCACTACACCTAGGTCCACCTTAGCTGGATTGCGCTGTACAACGCTTGCCGAGTCACGGTCTTCATTCAATTACTCTTTTAGTGATTAAACATTTATTTAATGCTAACTCTATTTACAAACGACGGCACAACAAGCTAAAAACTGCGGCACCTTAAGTAATTGGCATTATTTTGGAACAAAAATGTTTAGTCTGATGTACTGTCGACTCTTGCTACTTACTTGATTAGTTCATTTGAAAGTCAAAATTCAGCAACCTGATATCACAGTTAACAAACTAATGAAACTAATTTTTGCTCGTCTATCAGGGCCTCTACATATCCATCAATTTAAGGCGTTACCAGTAAAAGTTAGTTCGACTATTATTTACTTTAAGATTTTGCCAGCGCAACTGATAAATGGTGTGTGCTAATATTGCGTCAAATGCATACGTTATTGTTGCGATAAAAGAGCTCTTCTCCCAAAATAAACTGCACTCATTCGGATATTTCCTCAATTTTCAAGACTGAACAACAAATTAAAGTGCGAGTAAGCCCCTATTACTTTTAAATTATTATCGCCTGTAGAGTCAACAAATATGCTTCCCACTTCAATTTTCCAGGGTAAAATAATAAATTTATCATTCTGTTATATTCGCGAGTGTCAAGACTGCTCCATCTGCGATATTATTTCGGCAAGGTCGACAATTTAGCAAATACCCACTCAAGTGTACCTAAGCTAAACAGCACATGCTTTTGCTAATTTTAGGTCAGGAGAAATGTTGAAAATATTTTTGAGTTAGGTAGTTATTAATAAATATTGGTACAAAAATGTCATCAACACGAACAAATATTAAAACTCTATTTATTGTCAATGTAAATTCGTAAATTGACCAGAAAAGAAAAGAACGAATAATGTAAAAGAGAGAACCAGTGAAGTTTGTTAGTTTTGTTTATGGATTTAGGGTATATTAATAAATAGGTACCTACTATAATATTGTTTGTTAGCATGAATATGAACAACGTCCATTAGTTGGACCTTTTTATTCCAATGAAATATAGGTGACTTCACCTTGAAAGATTTTCAGCATTACTCAGTCCAATGAAAAGTTATACATACTCGTATACTCGTAGTAGGTACATATTAGACTAATTTTTCTACTACTACTTCGCAAAAAGACCAAAGTAAATTTTGTAGAGTAATGTCTTCATCATATTATCTTACCGTGGGCGTAGAGAACTTTTCAGTTTATTTTAGGTTAGGTATACATTTGATTATGTTTATAGAAACTCAAAGTAAACAGTTGGAGTATTACGAGTTATTTTAACATAACATTCTTAAGTATTTTATTGTTTCCGTCCAAAATTGTGCTATGTCAGTAGATTCGAGAGCTAGAGTCACCATTTGTTGCTCCCTCGAAAAATATGTGGCATTAATTGGCCCAAATTGGTTATTAGATGGCACGGTCTCAGGAGTAATTCATAAATATCGATAAAATTATTCCTGAAATGACTACGTTTGGTGATATCATGAACTCTTGAATTTTAGCGCGTTAGAAACATTGGCATGGCTACATAAGAACTTATGTTCTTAATTGTTGTAGTACCTAGGAGTAAATAAATAGAAACAACATTGTGCGTCGGCGCATCCTCGTGAAGAGCGCTATAAGAGTTGAAGTTTCATATCTGCAATATGGACTTGAAAACAGACAGAATGTAAAATGTGAATTATTCTAATGCGGGTAAAACCGGTTAAGGTAGTCTGGAATACTTGATGAGCGACTTGCATAAGTAAGAACCTCATTTTCCCTGTAAACATTAAACAACGCCGGGAGAGCCTGCTCTTTTTAATTAAAGAAAGTATTTTACAAGAGTGCCGCCCTTTGAAGTTTTTATTTTCTTATTAACATCAGTTGATTGATTTGGTAGAAACCAATTTTAATTTCAGGTCAACATTGTTATTTTTGCCGAGGAAATACTGTAACCAGTGTGTACAAACTTTTGGAAGTTTACCCGCATGATAATGAATTAGAGTGAATAGGTACTGAAATAGGTGTAGTAGATGTAACCAAAATATAGAGTCTGTAATTTATGCTGGCTCCTGTACATCGTGATCAGTCACTTTCGGTGTGTGAATGGAAAATTAGTAGAGTTTCAAAACGTGTCAAAATCCACAAAGAGAAATGTTACAGGCTTTCTTAATTAGGCAGATTAAGCGGCGGAATGTAGGTGTCTCGGCAGTAATTGTAATTAATGTATGACGTAGGGCGCCTTCAGTCAACTGTTATTTAGGTACACACTGAGTTAAACATAACTATTATCAAGTGCTTAATTAACAAACGAAATCAACAGTTGCTTGTGCCGTTCGTATAATACTATGTTTATTTAATTTACATAATACGAGTAAATTAAATCGTGTCACAATTAGTGTTAATGCCACTAGTCATCACGCGACCATTAAAACGATTAATTTCTTAATTGCAACTGGTAGATTCTTGCAATTTAAGCATGTAGGTAGGTACTTACTTATTACAAAGTTAATGAAATATTTACCTTTTTTAAATACTATCCTATTTTAAATAGTCTTCTTATGGAAAAGAAAAAAGAGTAAACAGCAATCTTAACATAACTATTTCAGTTATTTATTATCTCGGTAAATATATCGCGCGTGTGGCGTAAGCAGTTTATTTTTATTCGGAAGCTATTTTTATCTGTTTGATTACATCTATATTCTTATAAGATTTGATTTATACAACTAACTAATATCGTATCAGGTATTCATTGAACTTGTCTTTAAAATGTGCGTTCACGCGGGTAACGTTATAATACTTGTTTCGATTCAGCCCGAAATCGCAGATAGAGCAGGGTCTTCCATCACAAGTAATTACATTTTAACCACGAGAGCAATCTTTGTAGGTGTCTAAAGGTTTTTGCTCGACTCAAAGGCCATTAGTGGGTAGTGACATGGCTCTTTTAGACATTTTAGGGTTCACTACATACAACTTTTACTTTTTTGGCATAGTTCCAAACTTCCCTGATACGGATTTTGAAACGATACAATTTTGAATGTTTTTCTACACAGCAAGATTTCCTGAAAGTTAACGAGTATGATAATACTATTATGTATCTTATGTAGTTTTGTATAGGGATGACTTTGTAACAAGAATGTAAAGACTGTGACTTCATTGTGACAACACACTTTTGTGGAGACTTATCATATTTTACCTGAAATATGTGGTCTATTTTGATTACGTTTACCACCATCACTACATCGTAAACTCATCTTTAAAACATAATACTTATCTTTATATGTAATTTTGATAGGGATGATTTTACAAGAAGAATGTAGAGACTGTCACT